ACTAAAGGATAAGTGGATCAAGAAGAAAAAGAAGTCTTATTTTTAGATGTCCTAATGCATCTTTGTAAAATAACCTTTCTTTATCGGGCATGTTTTTATATTTATAGAGAACATAAATGCAGCATTTAAAACTTAAGTGGCATGAGGGCTGCGTGTCTTTGGAAGAAAATATCTGGTTTCTACCAGCCCATTCATTAATTAAGATTATAGAAGATATCCCTTTGAAGGAGAAGACCATTCTGATCAGGGCCTCATTTCTTAATCTGCTAATTAAGGGGTTTCCCCTTATCTGCACATTGTAATTGCTTTTTAACTCCCATTTCAGCTGTTCATTCTTTGTTTTTATCTTTTTATTTTCTGTATATGCTGTTTCTCTGAGGGATGGGCAATAAGGAATACTTTAAAATAAAGTCCATTCTCTTAAGGATTAGTTGTCCTTCAAAGTTATAATTTCTTATATTCATTATTACAAAATTATATAGCAGGAATTCTGCTAAGTCTTTAAAGGGGGATGATGAGTTGAAGATATTAAATTCCCGTCAAGCCAGCTAACCATAGAATATGAACTAATTTACAAAGGAAACATACATGTCTTGATTCAGAATGAAGTTTGCACTCAGTGGAACTCATTCCAGGAAAGTATGACTAGAACTGCAACTTTGGGCTACCTTGTGGACAGAAATCCTCATCCATGACTTTTCTTTTTTTAATCTTTTTCACAGAATATCATCCAAGCCTACAAGAGTGGACTTTACCTTAAAGGAAATACCAGTCTGGGCAGATGGGACTTTGTCGGCTCCTTCTTTTTCTCTGTTTCTACAGTAACAACTATTGGTAGGAGTTATGGAATACTAGTTTGGAGAAAACGATGTGAAATAATTATAGCACAAAACTAAGCCTGTTCATCACATTTCATAGCAGAGAAAGGTACAAGTGAAGAAGAAAAGTTGGGGAGTGTCTTAGAATATTCCTATAGTCCTTCTCTTGCTGCTTTGTTTTGTATTTGATAGAAAATTTAGTAAAATGCATGATAATTCACAAATCCACAAATAATCTCTGCTCGGAATGAAGTCTAAAACATCTTTGCTTTAAGTTGCACATTTAGCCATCAGCAGAGTGATCCACATAGTACCAGCAGGGGGCAGTAAAGATTTCACTCAATTTCTGAGGAACATACACTGAATCATACCAAAATCTGTTTGAATCCAGTTCTTTTTTGTAATAAATTTTAAGAAAAGTAACATGTTAAAAGACTGTGTTCCAAGCCCACAGGGAGTGACCTACATAGAGCAAAATGTGGTGTTCACATTCAGATCCTTGATTATGGTTGTTTGATCTTTGTTCATAGCCTAGGATTTGTTTAGGACCTGTGGGGTGAAGTGTTCATTTCATCTCTGGGTTTTCATCTCTGGGTATTCTCTTTTGAATACACAAATAACCTGAACATGGGCTACAGAGGACAAACCATTCACCAAAGGCATGGCTTAGGGCGGAGGTAGGCAACCTTGTCTCTTTTATGACTCGTGGATTTCAACTCCCAGAATTCCACAAGTCATAAAAGAGCCAAGGTTGCCTACCCCTGGCTTAGGGTGATAAGCCATTCCTATCTTTGTGTCCTATTTCTCTGTCCTTTTTTTCAATTTGGATATAAATTCAGGCGCACACAGTTTCTCCAATTGTGAACAGCATAAGTAATGTATTTCAGGCTACAGGTATCTGATGGGATATATATTTTTGCATCAGTTCGCTGCTTGCTTTTTTTGTGCTGTTTGGGGTCTCTTTCCTATTTGGAATCCATGCATGTAGACACAATAAAGAGCAAAAGAGTGAGGAAGAATCAGCCTGTGGACCTTACACCTCTCCCCTTCCTATATTGTAAAAGGAAAAACAGGTCTGTGCTCAGACTTGCCTGTATTCTCAAGATAATGTGTATGTCTGCCTACAAAGATTTATTTTAAGATGTGTGAATTGTGCCTCAAAGGCATATTGTGCAGCAGGTTTTACATGGGAAATAAAAATTCAGCAACACACATAGCATTTTAACTCTTGGCTGTGTACTTAATGAGTCACAAGATGGCAGTGTTATCTTATTCTACAACTGCATTATGCTTCAATTGGCATTTAATGATTCATCATCATTTAAGCAGCACATTTGTCTCAAATAAGCCTAAATTAGAGACTTGAGGCATATCATGGCCATATTCCACGCTTCCCTAAATTAATGTTTTTTTCCATGGACAATTGCAAAGGGATATATACAGAAAAGTTTTTTCCTGAAAACTTATGAGATATATAAACTAAAAGCTTTGCTTCTGGAACACTATTCCAGAAATCCATCAACTTCCAATTAAGCACAGAAATCCCTAAAGAGGTTAGCAGCAATCATTTTTCAAACATTTGAAGGGAAATTTAAATAAAGACATTTGGAAAACGAGAACATTTAATTGTAGCCAATTCACTTCTGAGAGAAGAGGTGTGGCATCTGGAGCCCTCTGAAAAATAAGCATCCAATTAAATATTTTCACTGTAAGAGAAAGGAGGAATTATTACATACATAGGGATTCAACAGGTTAAATTAATGAAATTAATTAACAAATTGCATTTAGCTTTGATTGTGTCCCTGCTGATTCCATTGTCCTGGTCCCATCTACTTATTGGAGTAACACATCATAGTTAAAACTCTGTACAATGCTTGGCCCTACATAAGATTATAGATTTTATAGATTCCTAACTTGGGGACTAAAGCAATGCCTGGTTCCTAGTATTACCCAATCCCTTCTCTGAAGCACAATCCAAACGGAAATAGAGGACAAAGTGATTAGTTTCGACGATTCAGAAAAGGTATAAGGATGAAGGTCCGTTGTCGATTTTTGTATTTTAACGGATTGGAACTAAAGTCTAACCATGTCTAAACTACGTCTTGATGATGAATGCTGGTATTAACTCAGACGTTATTGTTATTCAACACGGACATTTCGTCGAGTAGCACACTGACTGGACTAAAAGGTGGAAAAAAAAAAAAGGAAGTTGTTAAGTGAATGTAGCAATCTTAAAGTGAATGCCTCAGTTGTTAAGCAAAGCCATCTTTTGCTATGTGTCTTTTTTTTTTTTTTTTTACCAGAAGCAAGTAAACATTGATTTTCAGCAAAAAATGTAAATTGTAGTCATGTGACTGCGGGACACTGCAAATGGCTGTAAATATAGACTGGTGTTGAACTGAGATGGTATGCATGTAAAGTCTGCAGAAAACCCACACAATTCTCTGATAATAAAAACGGGGGGTGTCCTGTCCAGTACAGGGAATATAAAATAAGAGAGGGCAAAATCCAAAGATATCCCCCCCCAACCTGCTACTAGAGCTTACAATTGAGAATTGCAGTTAGCTTTCTTATGGTTTTCAGATTTGACAGTCGAATTAAAATATTTACTTGTCTGTGTCAGACTTGCTTGCTTCCCTGAAGCCTGAGGCTTCAAGAATATGCATTAAAGTTCCTGGAAACTTAGATTCTCTCAACTATGTATCTTCTACTCAGCAGGATCCCTTGAAACTAAGGGTAGGATGGGATGCTAGGCTGCAGATTAAAAAAAAATAACACTCTTTCCCTCTGAAATCCTTTTCTTGAGCCAATCTAAAAAAAAGAATGGCAACAAGAGTATTAGGACCAGCCAGATTTGTAGAACTAAGATTTTGAAAGTGCACAGCAAGGGTGCACTTGAATGCAAATTTCACAAGCTTCACACACCCAGGTAGCTTTGTAAGAAATACTTGCGAAGTGGCTGTTGAAAGCGAATCCAAGGGCTAGAACCACTTTCTGCAATGGAATGAATGCAATCGTCATCTCAAGCCAGCCTAGGCTGACCTTCTCCATTCCTACTCTGTTGAAACATTAACGAAATTGGAGAGAAATATTAAGCAGAAGGAAAATGCCTGACTCTTCCCGGTTGTTTCATGAAAGTTTTAGTAAAAGATATATTTGGAAACATGGACTTGAAAGAAAGATTGGGTCATAATATATATAAAATGATGTTTCAGATTTGGGTCTGACACAACTATTATTCCTTTGTAGACACTAGATGGCAGCACAGGGTCAATGGGAATGCTTAGTATTTAGTCATTAGTGTTCCAGGAATCAAATCTATAACCATACACCCTCTTTCCTATAGCTGCTGATTTTGAACAGTTGGAGTTACTGGGATAAAAGCAGGGCTTTTTTTTCTCATAGAACGCCCAGAACCAAGTTCCAGCACCTTTTTTGGATGGAACCTTATAGGGTAGGCAAGGCGGTTTGTATGATGTGTGTAAGTTCCGGCACCTTTTTTTTTTTTTTTTTTTTTTTTTAGAAAAAAAGCACTGGATAAAAGCATTATACTAAGGTTGAAATTTAGTTGTATGTATATCTAGAAAAGTTTTAAAAGTTGTCCTGATCCAGCCTATCCAATCTAGCAATGCCCTTGCTAGTCTACCTGATATTCTAGGAAGCCTATACAAAGGGCATCAGCCATCACTCTCAGTTTTCAACCAGCTGCCTTTGGTTCTGAAGAAAAAGTATAAAGCTCTTATGGCTGATTAGCATTGAAATAATTATTTTCCAGCTCACATTTTAGATTCAAGGAGGAAATTCTTTTTAATTTTGGGGTGCAATGTAACTTAACTCTTGTTGGGATATGATTTTCAGTAAGTGCAGTTAACTGTATTCATTATTCATAATGAATTAAAATTTATTTTACAATGTGTGACAAAATAATATAGGAAATTTTAATCTACCAAATTAATGTAATTCTGGGAGTTTTTCCCCTACATGTGCATTCTTTCTAACAAACAGATCCAAGAAAGAATCAACACAGAAACTATTTCAACAAGTATTCTTTTATGTGTGTGTATTAGGGCCACCCCATTTAGACTGCAAAAAAAAAATTGGATGACCACTAGATGGACACAAAGAAATATTGAATGTTAGGAGGTGTTTTTTCCTCTACTTGTCACCTTACAGCCCAGATATGATAGCTTTAATGCGTACAAACATCATGATACTCTGGAATATTTTATGGGCCTTTAACTAATCCCACAACAATATATAATCTTTATACCTTGTTGACTTACAAAAGATTGCTTGCATTATTCAATCGCAATCTGTTCTTAAATATTAGAAATACTTGGAGCTGAGTTAAAGAGACATTTTAGAACTGTCTGCTGAGATTAGCGATAACTTGCACCAGTAATAGGATGAACCAGGAATTGGTATAGTGTACGGATGGGAGAACTGGAGAAGGGATAAGATAATAAGATCATTCTGGTAAGACTGTTTACAGCATTTGGCTTAGTGAGTGATAACTAGGAACAGATCAGTCAGATGAAAATTTCTAGGGTACAGTATATTGTGGCTTAGTTCACATAATAGATGAAACCAAAAATAAACAATGTTAGAGCTTTTTGATTGCTGTATGAACCATATAAATTTATTAAATAAAATAAACCTTTGTAAAATAAGTTATGGTTTAATGCAGTATTTCTTAAAATTTTCAAAACCAAACAATGCTAATTTGTTCATTTTTAAAAAAATACTGCAAGGAACTTGTATCACTTGTTTCTCTAAAAAGAAAATAAAAGTAATATTGAAATAAAACCTCTTTAAAATATTTAGAGTGTGTTTTCCCTTATATTTAATATATTAATTAGAAATCTTAATGGAATGCATGAACTAGAATATGATTATTTCATACGTGTTGGCAGTGACGTTAAACTTAGGCTTCATGTTACCCTCTGTTTCAGGATTGTAACAGTTGTAAGTACTTAACAATCCATTTTTCACAAAGAGATTCTCTAGAACAGTCATGTCAAACTCGCGACATCACATGACATCGTGTGATGTATCGGAACTTTTTCCCCATTGCCGGCAATGGGGTGAGCATGGTTTCGTTGTGACGCGTCCAGTCCGCGGGCCAGCAGTTTGACACCCCTGCTCTAGAAGATAGTAAAACCTACAGTGACTCTGAAGGTGATTGCAGAATATCTTCAGGCTGTTTAAGAAATGTTGGTGCTCCTTGGAAGATAGCTTAAAATTATTTTAGTGTGTTGTGCAGACTCAGTCAATTATAATATATCTGATAAAAAGTGAGAAAACAATGATGAAAGGGAGTATGGAAGGGCTTTACTTCTTATAGATTCATATTGTATTTCAGAGTGCCACCAGAACTATCCAACATCAGGTACTCTCAAGAAAAGTTGATTGTGAATCCATCCTTAGCTGTATAGAAGGAATTTACAAGCTCTCCCCACTTTTTCACCATTCTTGAAGAAAACCAAAATTCCAATGGCCTCAGATTGACATCCCAAGGCTTTAGGAGTGGAATCAAAATAAACAGAAAATATTTATGGTGCTCATTCAATAAGTGGTGGTGATAAATTCAAAGAACCTGGCCCTTGCAAGCAAGTTAACATCTGTAGTAGAATAAATGTTTCATTTCATTGATACAGACTACAGGTGACCCAACTGAACACTTTGATAAAATTGCAATTCAATAATTTAATACTCTTCACCAAGAGGTACAAAAGAAATATTGGCAAAAGTTCCAAAACAGCCATTTCAAAGTGCTGCACTTCAATAAGATAGGAATAAAATTTTGTCTAGCCTAATTGTTAAGACCCTTTTGCATAAAAAATACCAAAGTAGATCACTAGTTTTGTGTAAGTGTAGGCCATTGCTCTATTCTCCACCTTACTCTTAAAACTGGAGATAAATGGAAGGGAAAAGATATTTAAGATTTTTAGTGTCATTCTAATCTCTTTTTTGAAGGAAAAGGTTGTGATTGAAGTGTCATTGGATTATAACAGAATAACAAAGTTGGAAGGGACCTTGGAGGTCTTACAGTCCAACCTGCTTGTTCAGGCAGGAGACCCTATTTACCATTTCAGATAAGTGATTGTCCAGTCTCTTCTTAAAAACCTCCAGTGTTGCAGCACTCAAACTTCTGGAGGCAAATTGTTCCACAGACTAATTGTTCTAACTGTTAGGAAATTTCTCCTTAGTTCTAGGTTGATTCTCTCCTTGATTAATTTCCACCCATTGCTTCTTGTCCTGCCTTCAAATGCTTTAGCGAATAGGTTGATTATATTGGTCTGAGCTATGGGATCCTCTGTGTGTCTTCTTTTTGCACCCCTGGAACTGCTTTTAAAATTGCTTTTCTAAGTACACCATATCCTTTCCCCACCTAATCCAATTTTAGAACAGCTTCTATTTGTGCCTTGTGGATTGATGTCATAATTGTGCTTTTAGTACAGAGCTTGCTATCCTCACCCCTTTTGCTAACAAAAGTGCATGCCAATATAAACGAAACCGATCAAAGAAAATCATACTTGTGGTGTAGTAGTACAAACCTTCTCAATTTCACCCTTCTAGAGAGCTTCATTTAAAATTCTTTCAGGATGTTAAAAATGGAACTAAACGTTATTGGGCCACAGGCGGAAATTGGTAGTAAAATCTTGTTTAGACTGTGTTGCTTCACAATACAAGTGAATCTAGCAACTTGGATGAGGCTAGGCTACAACCTGGCACAACCTTTCTCCTTCCAGATGGAGTTTGTGGTATAGAGAAGGATTTAATCATGAAAACTAGTATTCTAAAATAACGCATCTCTAGGATTCTTTTCTCTGATTAAATAAGTCTTATTTCCATTCTTTTCTCTTTATCTTATCCAAAATAGCTTGTTTTTCTGTTGCCTCTTCTTTTTCACCTCACTATTTTATAAAATAACCACTAATGAAAGCTTTATTTTAATCTGAAAGCACTCTCAAATCAGTACATATAACAAAACATTGTTTTTATTTCTTTTTCAATCCTCTACTATCACTTCCTTCTGTAGCAATATTTCTATTTTTCTGAAAGACGTACGTCCCTTTCAAGAATAGACCTAATTTGGATTTTAAAGGGTTTGGCTACTAAGGTTTCTAAAGCAGAAATACTACCAAACATTTTTGAAACATAATCCTGTGACTTTGGTTAATAAAAGGAAATCTAGTGGGTTTTTTTAATGGAGATCCCTTCAGTGATTTTATGCACAGCTGGCAAATACTGCCTTACCAATTCATAAGTGCCTGTTCCTGTTGTAATCATTTTCAGAATTGACAAGAATAAATAGCATGCCATTAAGCCAAATGGTTTAGACTGTCAGTAATAATTAGGATTATATTGCATATTGTAGTTTCTGGGCCTTTGCTTTACCTTCAGTCTCTGTTCTGAGTGGATTACTTATAATTTGTCATTTACATGGAGACCTTTAGAAAAAAAAAGATCCTGGTAGTTGAGGGCAAACTACAATGATTTTCAGTAAGCTACAGCTATCAAGTTTAATATCAATTTACACCAGAGTACAGAGTCCGTGGAAACCTATTTATTTTATTTATTATGATTAAACTTATTGCCACCCATCTCACCGAGGCGACTCAAGAAGGCTTATAGTCATATAATTAATATACCATATAAATCATTAAAACAAATAAGTACCATGCAATTAAAAATCAGCTAAAATTTCAATTAACCAAGATGGAGAGGAAGGTAGAAAAATGCACATGGGGAAGAAGTAGGGTCTGACTAATCTATTAACCACCTCCAAGATGCCATTCCCCATTCAGCCTCAGGTCAGCTGGCAGAGCCAGGTCTTCAAGCTCTTTTGGAAGGCTAGAAGGATGGGTGTGGAAGATTTACATTTCAATGTAACTGCAGGAAACCAGCTTGAAGAACACTAGAAACTTAGTGGGAACTGATTTGAGTAAGATTTATACTAATAGAAGTTATGATCCCATGTAACCCTAAACTATGGCTTAGTATCAGGTGGATAAGGCTCAGTGATCCTTGCCTGTATGAATTCTCTCATACTAGGATCAAGTTGTAAAGAAAATTTCACAGCCACAAATTCCATCAATAATTGTAAATCGATGTTGCTTAGTAACAAAATAACAGAGTTGGAAGGGACGTTGGAGGTCTTCTAGTCCAACCCCCTGCTCAGGCAGGAAACCCTATACCATTTCAGACAAATGATTGTCCAGTTTCTTGTGTTGAAGCATTCACAACTTCTAGAGGCAGCTTGTTCCACTGGTTAATTGTTCTCACTGTCAAGAAATTTCTCCTTTGTCTAGGTTGCTTCTCTCCTTGATTAGTTTCCATCTATTGCTTTTTATCCTGCCCTCAGGTGCTTTGGCAAATAGGTTGAACAATCTGTCTATATATCTGTCTGTCTGTCTATCTATCTATAGTATTTAGACATCATTAATTGCTGTTCATTGTGTTTGTTTAAATAGAGTTGGTAATAGAAGTAACATGGTACTTCTATTTACGTTTACTAATGCAAAGCATGTTTCATCTCATTTCTGTAATCCTAATATTAGAATATTTCTTCCTCATATCTACTCTTTTTTCATGTTTGAGAATCTTCTGATATCTTGGCTTTTACTGTTTGGCTTTTTATTTTATTTTTACTGTTTGGCTCCTCATTCTTCTTACATCTTAAATGTTGGATAATAATTTTATTAAGCTGAAATTCTACAAAGTCTTTCTGCAAAGCCTGCAGATAATGTTTTTGCCGAATATCATTGACATAGATTATAGCTACATTATCGTGTTAATTTCTGTTATGCCAATGACCAACTTTATTCTTCTCCTTTCAGGCTATGGCAACTTGAGCCCCAATACGGTAGCTTCACAAGTGCTCTGCATCTTCTTTGCCCTCTTTGGGATTCCCTTAAATCTTATTCTTTTGAATAGGATAGGACAGCTGATGCTCTCTGGGGTGCATTTATGTGCCTTCTATCTAGATGCGAAGTTCCAGTGGCAGGTAAGAGAATTAGGAATTCTTACTTATTTGTTTATTTAATCTAAAACACGCATTTCACAAGCAAGTAATTCTGGGCATTGTACAACAAGACTAAAACAATAAATTCTTATGGGTCACTTTGGCCAGCATGGACAATTTATTCATGCCATTTTCTTAAAAAGCAAGAATGTCAATGAAAATGCCATTGACTTAACTGCTTTAATTTAAATTTGTTGTAGGCAGAGCTATGGTGTAGCAACAAAAGCTGTCTAGATCACCATATCATTCTGTTGTGTTGTTCCTCTTAATAAAGCCTTCAAACTTCAGATGTAAATCTTTACTAGTCTTCATGTTTAAATGGCCCACTTCAATGTGTTTACTTGAAATAAATTTCTATTGAATTAAATTAGGCATACTTATCTCTCTATATCTATTTGTTTAGGTTTATAGAACTAGCAAGCCCCAGGGAATTGTTGGCTCTGCAATCTTAAACAGCAGGAAGATCATAACAAACTCTGTGTAAGAGAGATGAATAATAATAAGTGCACACTTTAAAAAAAGTGTTTTAAGCCTTGGGAGTATGTTTTTAGATGAGGAATAAGAATAAGAGGAGACTTTGTAGACTGTTTCCACAATAGCTAGTTGCATGCCTCTAGGGAGTTCTTAACAAGGGCAGGAGGGCAAAAACATCCTTTAACTCATGTTTCACTAGCTAGCAGAGTGGAGCAGAGATGGGGAAAGATTTTTCTTTCCAGATACTTTAGAACATTTTGGAGTTGCTATTATATTAATCATTAAGCAAAACATAACTTGTAGATTTCATGCAGAAATGCCCCATCTTAAGAGAAAAAGATATTTAGTGGGGCAAAAAAGAGGCCACACCAAAATGTATTATAGGCATTTAACTATAATTCCACTGACAGATAAGTCAGTGTTAAACAACAGGTTTTGCTTTCAGTTTTTGGTTTTCTGTCAGGAAAAAGTTGATTCATCACCATTTTCCTTCCCATTTCTATGTTTTGTTCTTATATTATGTCTGGACAAGCCTCACATTCCTCAGGTTATCTATCACTATCTCTAGATCCAAGTATTCAGAAAATATGACGCATGTACACACTCCTGTTCCTTCCCCCAATATAGTAATGGTAAAATAGCATTTTAGTATTCTTGAAAAATTGTGCAAGTCTAGGCCTTGCTTGGGCCTAACTACTGTATCAACATCAACTTCCACAGAGAAATAGCAGATATAGTCCAATTTCAAGCTTTTTCTCTGTACCAATGACTACTTCTAGTTGGTATGAATCATAATCTAGATACCAAATCTAAAGCCAAGATCCAGAATAGCCTAATAAGTCTAAATAATATATAAAGCAAGGAATGAATGTTGGAGCAATTTGCATCTTCCTGTTCTTTCCCTCTTTCTCATGGATTCCTGTTCTTTCACAATGTGTAAAGCTGAAATCTATTGACTAATGTTGGTTTACTCAGCAGGTTCAAATCAAAATCTAGTATTTGCATGAATAAACCAACATGAACTATTTTTTTGTTTGAGCCATCATTTGAAACTGATTTTACAAGCCTAGTAAAACTGACCTCCAAGGATAAAACTGTCAGTATTTAATTCAATTTCCTAAATGATGATTTAGCTGAACTAAATCATCATTTAGGAAATTGGAATGTTGCATCAAAAAAAAAAGATCAGTAAGTTCTGATGGCACACACTGAACTTGAATCAAAATGTTCTTTGGCCCATTTGAATGAGCTAAACACAGTATTATGCAAGGATTCTCATGCAATGAGCTTTTCTCTTCCAAATGTCTCCCAAATCTGTTCAGGAAAGTTTTCTCTGGAAGAAAGAAAATTTCAGCACTATACTGGGTGTTCAAAGAAAAATGAATCTGTCCTGAATAATTCTTCTCTGTCTTCAGAAGGCAAATTTATCTCCTGCCCTCCTCAGAAATTTAATAGGATACATACCTGTGTTGCAGATTCATTCAAAGCACATTCTTCCAGTATCTTCTTTAATGCAAAATGTAATCTATATCCTGCTTCTTGTCTGATTTAACCTATATTATCTGTTTCTTTATTGCTTGCTAGAGGGGAGCAGTTGTCTTGACCCGGACCTGTGCCCTGGTTGTTGGCCTTTTATTATTTCTTTTGTTACCACCTTTGTTGTTTTCTGCCATCGAAGGCTGGACTTATGAAGAAGGATTCTACTATTCCTTCATAACTTTAAGTACAATAGGCTTTGGAGATTATGTCATTGGTAAGTATTCTATGCCTATTAAAACTGTATTTGTTTGAGGGGTGGAGTAGGAGGTAGATTTACAATTTCCCTAGTAACTCAAAGGAAAATATGATAATGGACAAAAACATGCCTTCTCAAGTTTAAGTTCAGTAAATAAAATCATAGTTCATTCTCTTTTAAGGCTGAAGTGCAAACAAAGGTATGTCCTTCTTGAATGTGAAATTCTTGAGAGCAAAAGATCCTTTATGTGCTTGTTTACACAGTTCACTTTGGAGATAATGTTTTTCATTTCACTTTTCAAGATAAATTATTTGGTGGAGGTACCCTACCTTTTTGAGGGAATTTCTTAATGTTCTGGTCAGCTGTGGGAAAACAAACAACTTCTTCATGCAGCAGGAAATAAATGGTTTAAAAGAATTCTGATATGTGAGGTGTTTTACATTGATTCAATTTGGGATGCATTTATGTTGATACCAAAGCAGCTTGGTTTAATGGGTGTTTAAGTTGGAAGATAGGCATAAAGTTCTAGAATGTGGACTTGGTTGGTAGCCATTTTTATTCCAGTATAACAACAATTGAACAATGAAAGCTACTATATATAGTTGCATACTCATGAGACAAGTAAACCTTGGTAAGCACTGCATGAAAATCTCATTTATCAGACTCCTCTAAAAAGCACTTTCAGCTTTTAGTTTCATTTTTACAATTGTGCAGAAGAAAAACAATCTTAAATTGGAATTATGTAGGCTGGAACAGGATTGATATACAATGATAATGTCATCAAGAGCTTATTTTAACCTTCACCTCAGTGGTGTTCCTTACTTTCTCCAAGTTATTTAAATGGTTGTTATTTAAATCTTTAAATTATTTAAATCTTGTTTCTGGAGAAAGGAAGCGAGAAGAGTCACTCTTTGTACTAAACCATTATGCTATTAACCATGACTTGTCATTAAGCTACGAATGGCACTGATTGCCTGTTCTATGTCATAAACTATGTTTTGTAAAGCACAATAGCTAGATTCACTGCGTGCTAAGCCAGAACCAAATAAACGACATGATGTCATGTGTTTTATTTGTAAAATGTAAATGCAGTCAATATTGTAGTAAAAAAAATTAATAATAATGTATGCTGCCCAACTCTCAATCACTTTGGATGGCTATTAAGATGACAGCAAAAATGTATCGCTGGTCATGGTTGCCATCTTCCCCACACAGACAGAGAGGGCATTAGGAGAAAAAGAGAGAATATGTAAAGCATATGTGGATATATTGGATATCCTGTGAAGATCAGGAAAGCCTGAAATATAACCATCCATTTTAATGTGTAAATGGCTTGTAGAAATAACTTTGAGGAAGAAAAGGGGAACCAACAGCCACAGACAAGTATGAGTCCAAAGCAGGAATGGAATGGACTCTCCCAGGTTCTCTTTAGAATAAAGGCAGGGAAGGGAAGGCACATTCAGAGTTGCAAGATTCTGTATCTGTAGCCTTGTAATAAAATCAGTTTCATGATTTTGATGTTCAAGTCTGCTCTACTTTTTGATGTCTGCTACTTGTTTTGACACTAATGTGTATAAACATTTGAACCAACAGAGCAATACTTCTCAGCTACAGTTGTCTCAGGGTTTATTTTGTACTCCTAAGACAGCATGTTCTTTCTCTTGTTTGCTGACCTAAGTGGTGGTCCATCCACTCTTGAGTCTTCCATACCTTAAACACAGCTTTAGTTTTCTTGTTATCCAAGAATCTTGGATAACACTATATTTCTTTCCGCCTCTGTTAAGAGTTTGACACTTTTCTTCCTTGCAGGCATGAACCCTACACGTACTTACCCAGACTGGTATAAGAACGTGGTATCTCTGTGGATCCTCTTTGGGCTGGCCTGGTTAGCCCTGATTATTAATCTCTGCATCAGCTTAGTAGAAAATTCTAGGAGACTTTGCCAGTGCTGCAAAACAAAAAGTCACACCATAAGTCAGGAGTTAACGAATGGCAACCTACACATTAATTTGGAGCCAGAAGATCAGCAGAAATGTGGCACGAAAGACATAGAACCTGTGAGGCTGGATTGAATTTGAAAACTGCATTATTTTATCCATTTTTCTATTGAAGAAGGGAAGCATCTGCAGGCATTGGTAAATGTTTTGCTGTGCCACCATGAGGAAAGTTGCTACCTGGGAGGTCATCTAAATGGAGTTGACTTGACACTTGGATGACATTGGAAATATACATGTATTTCCTTGAAAATTGTCTGAAACTGCATTTTCATGTGATACCTTTATGGTATGGGAATAAATTGCTTTTTGAAAAGAGTGAAAGAACACGTGTAACAGAATAAACCCTGTTGTGTGCATCTGAGTTGGGAATCTGGGACCATCACCACCACCTGATGTACCTGCAGCTGCTATATACAGGCAACAGTCTTCCATACCTGGGGCCCTCCATGCTTACTAGAATTTAATATTTGTGAAATGAATCAGCTTATAGAAGATGAATTACAGTTTTCCATCCATTCCCACTTCAATCCCTCAAAAATCAACTTTTTTTCTATACAGTCTAGAAATCAGTACTAACAAAGTAGGGAAAGTGTGCAGAATGCAGCTTTTGGAATCCTCCAGACCTCTTTATTAGCATGGCCATAGGATATCTCTGCATTTTCTTCTATGTAACAAAATTAACACATTGCACTGTGTCGATTTATATGTGAATGTTCTGGAAAGCACAGGGTGATGAGCTGTCTGTGTTCTGGCTCATATCACCTGGCTTAGAAAGGAAGATACAGCAGCAACTGAGCTGCTGCCCAAGAACTGCTTGGGAATAATTTGGGGGATTTTTTCCTCGATCGTTTTTCCTCAGGCTGATTTGATCTATTTTTAGCCTTGAATTTCTGTTGCCAGTTTCTCCAGCCCCCTCTCTGGTCCCATTTTGTTCAGGTTTTGGAGCATTATTCTGCTGACACACAGAAAAGCAGGCAGAAAAGCAAGTACTAAACCTTAGGATGTAATATCTTTCCAACATTCCATAAGGTTGGAAAAGCAACAGAAGAGCTGCCTGTATAGTCACTTGTTATATATGAGGGGTGGGATTAATTGTATAATTGTATATTTATATTAGGTTCTACTTTTATATAAGTGCCATTCTTCTGATTAATATCTCATGTTTATGCTTTCCCAAGGAATCCCTATGAGGGACATAATATAAAGCATTTTTTAAAAAAGTAATAGTGATGGTAAATAAGAGAGCATTGTTATTTATTAGGTATATTGTCCACATTTTCTTTAAAATAGTGTTCCAGATGAAAAACAGTAAAAAAAACATGGAGGGTATGTGCTCAAATAGAGATATACCTTTCACTGTGAGGAGGCAGAGCCCAGTTGGAGTCCCTTCCTGTAATCCTGATGAAGTTGAATTAATAGGGATATGTTCCATGAATGTGCCTAATATTTTAAACCAATTTCAGCTGATTGCCATCTCAGCATTTTGTGGGATATGAATTTGTTCCACCTAGCTTCTTTTCTACACACATCCATTCCAGCCTTGGTGACTTTTAGTACAACTCACATTGGTGAAAATTCTGCCTGGAGATAATTTTTGAACATCTGGAACATCCATAGTCTGTGCCACCTAAGTCAGTCTTGTTCAATTTGGCATTCTTCAGTACTGATTCCAGATAGGAACTCTGAAAGTTGCAATTCCAATATGCTTGAAGGAAACTAGATGGTACAGGACAGGTTTCTCATCTTACATTTTATATCATTATAACTTGACACTTCATGGTTCTGCTATGCTTAGTCTTTGTAGCTGGAAAATGTAGCCATAGCAGAAGTTTGTAACTTGGATAAAAAAAAAACCATCATCACCCATAAAAATGTTGTCGGCCAAAAATATAGAAGGTCACTCATTCAAAGGTGACTAAAGACAGAGAGGGAGGGAGGGAGGGAGGGAGAGAGAGAGTTCTTTCACAATCTGCACTGGAAAATTATTGGAGATATTTGAAAAGTTAAAATATTTCCTGTACACTTATCCATGTATTTCTTTTAAACTATATGTGTAATAATGTTGTTATTGAAAGTTCAGTAAGTCCATGTAATAAATTATACCCTACCAATGTGTGTAATATCCACAACAATATTTTTTTAAGCAAATTCAAATACTTTTGTCATTCTCTGAGTCTTTTAAATGAACTATGTGTGTATATATGTATGTGTGTATTTCTATCTCCAGATGCAACATTACACTTGGCTGCATTAACGAAAGGATAAATTCAACTCTTCCCCCAAATGCTCTCTTACAGTTCCTAGTATCCTTATCACACACCATATTGGCTTGGCACATATCTTGACTGTCTAAATCCATTTGTAAGGTTATAGGTTTCCTAACCTGACAAACAGCAAGTTTTAAAGTGCAGAGTTTCAGTTAGCCATCTATAACCACTTTGGAATATTCAGTTCCATTCTACTTTGTTTCTGTTTTTCTGTTGGTATCCTAGAAAGTTATCTACATGCTAAAATTGACATCCATCAGTGGTCTTCATATTGGGCATTGATAATTCTTTTTTTATGATGTATGGTCCATCCACAGAAAATGAGCATATAATTAGCTTTAAAATGTTTAAAATGTTGTCACATCTCCTTCCTGGGCTTAGTTGGATCATGTACCTGTTTAGCTTGAACTTCCCAGATGTGTTCCTCTTGGCCTCAGTCCAGCTGTTTGTATATGATCCAGAGGTGGGGAACAGGATTCCTTTTGGCCCTTACTTAATCAAGCAAACTTCTCCACAAGGCTAATGCCATTTTTTGTTACTTTCATACCCTCAAAATTGTGACCATTGCTTTCTAAAACATTCATATAGGGATTGCAATTCATGGCTGTATGTGTCCAGCAGAACCATTTTTGTGGGACCCCGGTCACATTCCTAAAATGTGATAGAAAAATTTTGATAGAAAACTTAATATCCACATTCTTAATCTTAATAATAATGTTGGAAGAGACCTTGGAGGTCATCTAGTCCAACCCCCCCTGCTCAGGCAGAAAACCCTATACCATTTCAGACAAATGGCTGTCCAGTCTCTTTTTAAAAAAAACTTCCAGTGTTGGAGCATTCACAGCTTCAGGAAGCAGGTTGTTCCAATGATTAATTGTTCTAACTGTCAGGAAGTTTCTCCTTAGTTCTAGGTTGCTTCTCTCTTTGGTTAGTTTCCATCCGTTGCTTCTTGTCCTGCCTTCAGGTGCTTTGGAGAATAGCCTGACCCCCTCTTCTTTGTGGCAGCCCCTGAGATATTGGAACACTGCTATCATTCTGGGTAACACTCCCTCCAATCTTAACAAAAAGAAAAAAAGATTGAACTTCTCTCTAGTGATACCATTGTTGATTTCCATAGCTGAAATATAACCAATACAGTCCCAAACAGGAGAAAAGTTGGTTGACTCTTTTCACTTTGTACAACAGATTTGTTCTCCCAAGACAATGTGCTCTCCCTCTCCCTAGTATCCATGTATTTATTGTATGTGTATCTTCCTTTTGCATGGGAGAAATCTTATTTTTCTCCACTACAACTGTCCAGGTGCTTCTGGACCATTCTCCACAGTTTCAATAATATTATTCAGTACTTAGCCTGAGAAAATAGAATTAAGAATGCCTCATATGCTCCAGAGACATAAACAGCAGACCTTACAATGCTTCTGTATTTTAATAGCTGGACAAGATGAGTATATTTGATCATAAAACATGCCTACACTGCAATTATTAATAGTGTTGGTGCTTGGGGGGGAATGAATAAGTGCTAGTAAAATAGCCCCCTAAATGTTCCAAAAATGCTCCTTAGATCATTAATTTTTGCAGTTTATGTTTGAATTGCAGATTTTTTTTAACAACTATGAGGTGTGAATTATGCTCCTTATTTTAAAACTAAAAAGTTACTCAGTTCTGCAATCAAATTTATGTTTTTCTTCCTAATTTTGTTATTTAGAACATTTTCACAACTTCAGACAAAGTATGAATAAACAAAATTCTACCCAAACTTTTATTTAAATCAATATTCTTTCATTTCAGGCATAGAGGAAATGTCTGGCTTTCCATAGTTTAGTAATATATATATATAATATATAAAACAGAGCACTGTGCTCAGAAATTGACAGTGGATATTTATTCACTTGTTTAAGGAAAGGGAAGAGTGAAGTGCTTAACTCCAGAGCTTTTAAATATCAAGATAATTGATTAATTTGCTTTTCTTTGGCAAGTGAAAAGTGATAACAAATTTTCAATTTTTCTAATGACTGATTGGTATCATCTCCAAAGAATATTAAAGCAAGGCTAGGTATATCCATACTTTCATGGGATTCTTACATCATCATAATTTAAATTATTGTTTGCAGTTCTAATGAAAAACTAACTTTTATTTAGTGAAGATGTTTGAGGAGATTATTTTTTTAAAAAAATGGATTCACCTGCTTTTCCACTAATGGAAATTATATCCAAGGTTTGCATAATCAGGTACTCTGTAGCAGAGTGTGCCAAAGGTATAGATGAGAGGACCATATCACTATGAGTCAAAATATTTTCCTTACCAAGGTATCTGGAAAAGAACTGATTCATAACAACTACCTCAATGTTGGGATAAGAGAGCAATGGGAAATAATGGCAGAGGACAGGAAGGACCTGGAGGAACGTTGTCCATGGGGTCATGATGGGTCGGACATGACTTTGCAACTAACAACAACAAAATCAGCTGCTTCTTTTTTAGTGTCTTTGAGTCAGTCTTGACTTCTGGCAACTGCATGAACAAGTCCCTACAACAGGGGTCTTCAAACTTGGTCCTTTTATGACTTATGGACTTCAACTCTGAGAATTCCTCAGCCAGCATGCCTGGCTGAGGAATTCTGGGAATTGAAGTCCACAAGTCATAAAAGGGCCAAGTTTGAAGACCCCTGCCCTACAATATTCTTGGCAAGATTTCAGAAATGGTTTGCCATTACTGGGTGAATTTTAATATCCACACTGAGGCTAGTTGTCTGGAATGGTACAAATAGATTATTATTTTCAGATATAATAACTGAATCTATTTCAAAATGG